TTTATTTGGAAGTTTTTAATGGAGTCAGAATCAAAGTTCAAACCCAGATTTCCCAGTTCTCAGTGCTGCCTCTACAACTGTGTCTTTCCATTGATTTTTTTGTTCTTTGGGTTTCTGTCCAATACATATTTATTTTGTGCTACTGTGTGCTAGTGACTGTTCTAGTCAGTGGATATCCAGCAGCGCACGAACAGAAGTTGGCTCTCCTCTCATGGAACTTATATTGTAGTGGCAGTGAGACAGATAATAAACAGATAAGGTGGTGAAAAGTACTTCAGAGAAAAATAAAGCTGGGTAGGACAGAAAGAATTCTAGGGCAGGGTTGGAAAGTGAATGAGAGAAGGGAGGTGTTGCTTTTAATGTAGAATAGAAGGGAAGGCCTCTCTGATAAAGTGACATTTGAGCAGAGGATATGCCATGGGAATGCCTGAAGAAAGACTGTGTCACTAGTCAAAGGTGCTGAGGCAAGAACATGCCTGTTGTGTTGGATGAACAGAAAGAAAACCAGTGAGGCTGGAGTGTAGTAAGAGAGGGGAGCGTGGTAGGAAGTAAGATCAAAGTAGTTAAGGGAGTCAAATCACATAGGACTTTTAACCTGTGTAAAGGATTTTCACTTTTCCTTTGATGGAAGGGGAAGGGATTGGTGGGGTTTAAGTAGAGGAGTGGCATAAATGACTTATATTTTATAAGAGAGTCATTCTGGAGTAAAATTAGGGGAGAAGGGACAAAGCAGGGTGACTATGGCATTATTGTTGCAGTCATCCATAGGATTAGCTGATGGATTGGTTATGGAATATAAATGATTTTGATGATTTGAGCCTCAGCAAGAGGAAGAAGGACCTGCCATTTGCTGAGATGAAGACCATGGAAGGAGCAAATTTGGGGTAAGGATGAAGAAAGCAGAAATTCGACTTCAGTGACTCTCGGAGTGTTAGAGTTGGAAGAGACTTTGAGTTTATCTAGTACAATTGTTTCCTTTTACCAGCTAGAAATACTAAATACTGAGAGGTTAAATGACTTTCCCAGAGTCAAACAGCCTATACTACTTGTTGTGCAGCATAAAGAGCCCTGGAGTTGTAGTCATGTTCAAATTGTAGCTTTTCTGTTTCTTAGCTCTGAACCTTGGTCAAGTCATTTATTTTCTCCAAGTCTGTTTTTCTTCTATCAAAAAGGATAATAAAGACTTCCATTTCTTGTTACAATGTTGAAAGTTGCAACAGTTGACATTATTGCTCCCACTCTGGTAGTAAGAAAAGTCAGAGAAGGTACAAAATCATAATTTTTAAAAAACCTATCAGAGTTGACACAAAAAAATCTAAAGAAACAAAAATCTGGAAAGTAGTGAGCCCTTCTTCTCAAGAGAAAAAAAAAAAAAGAGAGAGAGAGAGAGATACATAGATACTTTTCATCTATGGTGGAACAGCAAGAGGAAGAATTTGCCATATAAAGAGAAGTCAACTGTTACTGACTGCATGTAGGCTGGAGTGACAATCTGGAGTCCTGAGGAGTTCCAGCTACAGTGCAGGACTACACCTACCTGCCAACTTTTCCCCCATGGGCCTTCAATTAGTACATTGGAATAGGAGTTCGGATGCAGGGGCAAGGGAAAGAGAGCTAAGAAGGATCCTGCTGAGGTGGGTGGATTTTGCTGAAGGCTGGGGGCAGGGCAGGAGAGTTAATAGAAATCCCTGTAGTGCACCAGGGGCTTTATGAAGTCTAAGGCTGGGCCTGCAACAGGCTGGGGGCATGGCAAGACAGCTAAGAAATCTCTTTATGACTATCTAGGCTTTTACTGAGGACAAGTCAGCCTTTGAGAAGGTATAGTCAGGGTAACAGAGCAAAAAGAGATCTCCTCAAGGCACAGAAAACAGAAGGTGCTGCTGGAGACCAAGGACAACACCCTAGCTGAAAGCTGGAATGTGAGGGGAGGGCAGAGAGGAGGGAAGATATCTCACAGTTCGGAAAGCTAGCATAGGTTATGAAGCTCAGAGATGTATGAAGCTTCGACAGTGCTCAGATTTTAGCTTCTCCTGAAGGTAAAGTTCTGATTTCACACTGAAATTATTATAAGCCAATCATGAACTAACACTATAATCTCAAACCCAGCTCAACTATGGATTAAAAGGATTGAGCTGTCACTCCCAGTTTCCCAGCAACTTAATTGAAGAAAGAACTTCCCTTTATGGAGATAAATTAATGTTCTTTTATACACAGTATCTGGCATGAAATAAATTATGAGATAAAGAAACAAGAAAATGTGATCCATGGTCATGGGAAGAAAGAGGCAACAGAAACAGTCTCAGTGATGGCCCAGACGTTGAACAACATGGATAAACAGAGAAAATTTCAGCAGAAAGATGTAAACTATTTCTCCAAGTGGAAATGCTAGAAATGAAAAATATATTAGAAATGAAGAATTCATTTGATAGGCTTAATAGCAGACTGCACACGGCAGAAGAAAGCACCAGTAAACTTAGGGACAGATCAATAAAAATCAGCATTCAAGATCTGTGGGACAATACAAAATTGTCTAGCATACATGCAACTAAAGTTCAAGAAGGAGAGGAGGAAGAGCAGGGACAGAAGTCTAAATTGAGGTATATCAGAGTCGACTTTCTGAAAATCAAAAATTTTTATAAAGGAAATTTAAAAGGAGGTAGAAAAGAAAAAATTACATAAAGGTGAACAGTAATATGAATAATCGACACCTTGTCAGAAACAATGCAGGTCAGAGGAAAATGAAATTTTTTTTTTGAGACAGGGTCTCACTCTGTTGCTCAGACTGGAGTGCAGTGGTGTGAACATAGCTCACTATAGCCTTAATGTCCTGGGCTCAAGAAATTCTCCCACCTTAGCCTCCTGAATAGCTGGGACTACAGGTGCATACCACCATGCCCAACTACTTTTTAAATTTTCCATAGAGACAGTGTCTTACTGTGTTACCCAGGCTGGTCTTAAACTCCTGAGCTAAGTGATCCTCCTGCCTCACCTCCCAAAGTATTGGAATTATAGGTGTGATCTACTGTGCCTGGCCTGGACTAACTTTTTTAAAGTGCTGTATTTTATTTTTTAAGCAAATCTGCTAACCTGGAATTAAATATTCAAAAGTGAAGGAGAAATACAGATATTTTTGAAGGAAGCAAAAACAATTTGTCTACATCAGACCTATATTACAAGCAGTGTTAAAAGAAGTTCTTTAAGTTGAAGGGAAGTTATAATAAAGGAAGTTCAGATCTGAAGGAATGCATTACACCAGGAAGGGTAAATATATGGATTAATATAAGGGACCTTTTAAAATATCTTGCTTTAATACATACATTTGTTTAAAAAAATATGGACTATTTAAGGCAGAAATAATAACATATTATTTGGTATATAGTAGTAGTAGTAGAAGTAAGCTATCCAACAGTAAGTGCACAACAAGCCGGGGAGGTCAAATGAAGTTAGACTTTGATAAGTTAAAGATGCACTCTGCAATCACTAAAGCAAACATTGAAAAAAATAGAGAGACGTATAGCTATAAGATCAGTGAAGGAAGTAATAAATATCACATTACGTAAAAGGAAAGCAGAATAGAGGAACAAAGAAGAGAGGCAAATGGAAAATAAATATAAAGATGGCAGACTTAAAAATCATATCAATAATTAAATGTAAAGACCATCATCTCCAATTAAAAGGTAGCAATTGTCAGGCTGGATAAAATAGCATGGTCCAACTATGTGCTGTCTTTATGAATCACTGTAAATATAAAACACAGATTGAAAAAGGGTGAAAAAGATGTACCATGCAAAAAGCATAAGAAAGTTGATGTTGCTATATTAACAAAGTAGACTTTAAAACAAGGATCATTTCTAGAAAAAAGGATCATTTATCATAATGAATCAATTTATTAAAAATACATAACAGGCCGAGCACAGTGGCTCATGCTTGTAATCTCAGCACTTTGGAAGGCTGAGGCAGGTGGATCACTTGAGCTCAGGAGATCAAGACCAGCCTGGCATACATGGTGAAACCCCATCTCTACTAAAAATGCAAGAATTAACTGGACATGGTGATGCACACCTGTAATCCCAGCTTCTTGGGAGGCTGAGGTGGGAGGATCATTGAGCCTGGGAGGCAGAGGTTGCAGTGAGCCAAGATCATGCCACTGCACTCCAGCTTGGGTGACAGAGCAAGCCTCTGTCTCAAAAAAACAAACAAACAAAACAAAACAAAACAAAAAAAACTTGTATGTACCTCACAACAAGCTTCAAAATATGTGAAACAAAAATTGATAAAACCAAAGAGAAAAAGAGGCAAAACCACAATCATAGCTGAATATAACACCTCTATCACTAATTGACAGAACTTGTGGAGAAAAAAAAAGTCAGTAAAGATATAAAAGATTTGAACACCACTATCAACCAACTTGATACTTGGCATTTATGAAGCAGTACACATCACTACAGAATTTTAAAAATAGCAAAATGGCAGACGTAAGTCCCTCCTTATCAGTAATTACTATAAGTACAAAGGGATTAAATTTACTAACTAAAATGTAGACACTGGCTGAATGGATAAAAACAAAAACGAGCAAAAAACTTCCTGCATGATCCAATTTTATGTTGTCTACAAGAGATCCTTGTTAGATCAAAAGACAGGTTAAAAGTGAGCTGGGTTGGCTATACTAATATCAGACAAAATAGACTAAGTTATAATAAAAATTGTTACATGAGACAAAGGTGATTATATGTTGATAAAAGGTTAATTCCTACAGGAACCATAATGATTATAAGCACATATGCACCAAACAACAGAGCCACAAATATATGCAGCAAACTGACAAAAATAAAGGGAGAATTTTTTCTTCTTTTTTCTGTTTTTAGAGATGGAGGTCTGTCTATGTTGGCCAGGCTGGTCTTGAACTCCTGGCCTCAAGCAGTCCTCCCACCTTGGCCCTCCAAAGTGCTGGGATTACAGGTGTGAGCCACTGCACCTAGCTGAGAAATGGTTTTATAATAGTAATTGGAGACTGCACAGCTGTCATCATAGCTACCATTTGTTAAGCACTTAGTATATGCCAAGACTATCCTAGGCACTTTACGTTTATAAACTCATTTCATTCACAACAGCCCTTGTGGCAGCTTCAATTACTATCCCGATTTTGCTGAAGAGGAAACTATGGCATAGAAAAGTGGCAGGTTCCATTCATATCCCCATTTTGAGGAAGAGGAAACTATGACATAGAAAAGTTAAATGACGTGCCCAAGGTTTACAAAGGTGTAAGTGGAAGATCTTGGATTATAAGACTCTTTTGGGAAATTAGATTTGATCCTTAGAGGTCTCCTAGTCTCATTTCCCATTGAGGAAGGGATTCCTTTCTCTGACAATCCTGGTTCTGTGGACTCTGCAGGAGCATTGAAGATGGGAGATCACTGCTTCAACAGCAAGACATTCTAGTATGGGCTATTGTAATTGCTAGAAAGTTTTTTTTCCTATGTTGAGGTGAAATCTCACAACTTTGATTCACTAGTCTTTGTAATAACAGAAAATAAGCCCATTGTTCTGACTGTTGAGATATGTGAAGGTTTTCATGTCATTCACCACCAACCCCAACATCAGTTGGAGACTTCAATACCATACTTTCAATAAAAGAACATTTAGACAGCAGAATAAGGAAACAGAAGTCTCGAACAACACTATAAGTCAATGAAACCTGACAGATTTATGTAGAACACTTAACCCAACCACACCAGAGTCAACATTCTTCTCAAGTGTACCTGGAACATTCTTCAGGATAGACATATGTAAGACCACAAAACAAGTTCCAATAGCTTCTTCCCCACCTCCAGCTGCTGGCAGGACCTTTCTCTCACTGCTGCTGGGACCCTGTGTCATCACCCAGGCCGAGCACGATGCCCCCTAAAAAGGGAGGTGAGGGAATTAAACCACCCCCAATCATTGGAAGATTTGGAACCTCACTGAAAATTGGTATTGTTGGATTGCCCAATGTTGGGAAATCTACTTTCTTCAGTGTATTAACCAGTAGTCAGGCTTCAGCAGAAAACTTCCCATTCTGCACTGTTGATCCTAATGAGAGCAGAGTACCTGTGCCAGATGAAAGGTTTGACTTTCTTTGCCAATACCACAAACCAGTGAGCAAAATTTCTGCCTTTCTAAATGTAGTGGTTATTGCTGGCCTTGTGAAAGGAGCTCACAATGGGCAGGCCTGGAGAATGCTTTTTTATCTCATATTCGTGCCTGTGATGGCATCTTTCATCTAACACATGCTTTTGAAGATGATGATATCACACATGTTGAAGGAAGTGTAGATCCTATTCGAAATATAGAAATAATACATGAAGAGCTTCAGCTTGAAGATGAGGAAATCAAGCTTGAAGATGAGGAAATCAGCTTGAAGATGAGGAAGTCAAGCTTGAAGATGAGGAAATCAAGCTTGAAGATGAGGAAATCAGCTTGAAGATGAGGAAGTCAAGGCTGCTGGAAAGTACAGACAACAGGGCAGAAATTATATTGTTGAAGATGGAGATATGGTCTTCTTCAAATTTAACACACCTCAACAACCGAAGAAGAAATAAAATTTAGTTATTGCTCAGATAAACATACAACTTCCAAAAGGCATCTGATTTTTTTTAAATTAAAATTTCTGAAAACCGATGGAACAATTAAAGTTGGGAAGATGGGAATCTTCAACAAATTATTTTTATTTGTTTTAAAATTAAAATACTGTGTACCTCTCCACCAATGAAATGCAAATTCACTAAATGTGAACAGCTTTGCTTTTCACATGATTAAGACCCTACTCCAAATTGTAGAAGCTTTTCAGGAACCATATTACTCTCATGATACTTCATTAATCTCCATCATGTATGCCAAGCCTGACACATTTGACAGTGAGGACAATGCGGCTTACTCCTTTTTGAATCTACGGATAATGCATGTTTTACAGTACTCCAGATGTCTACACTCAGTAAAACATTTGAAAAAAAAAAGTTCCAATAAATGTCAAAAGATTGAAATAATACAAAGTGTCTTCTTTGATAACAATGGAATGAAGCTAGAAATCAACAATAGAAAGAAACCTGGAAAATTCACAATCATGTAAAGACACTTTTTTTTTTTTTTGAGACGGAGTCTCGCTCTGTTGCCTAGCCTGGAGTGCAGTAGCGCAATCATAGCTCACTGCAGGCTCAATCTCCTGGCTTAGCCTCTTGGATTATAGGGATTATAGGGAATGCCACCATGCCTTGCTGATTTTTAAATTTTTTTGTAGAGTTGGGTCTCACTATGTTGCCCAGGCTAGCCTTGAACTCCTAGCCTTAAGTGATCCTCCTGCCTTGGCTTCCCAAAGTGCTTGAGTTACAGGCATAAGCCGCTGTGCCTGACCCCAAATTAACCACATTATTAATAGGTGAAAGAAATAATGGCTATTTTAAAATACTTTGAGATGAATAGAAATGAAAATATATGGGATGCAATGAAAGCAGTACTTAGAGGGAACTTTATAAATGTAAGTGCTTACATTACAAAAGAAGAAAGGCCAGGCACAGTGGCTCACACCTATAATCCCAGCACTTTTGGAGACCAAAGCAGAAGGATCACTTGAGCCCAGGAGTTTGAGACCAGCCCGGGCAACATAGGGAGACCCTGTCTCTACAAAAAATCGTTTTAAAAATTAGCTGGGTGTGGTGGCATGTACCTGTAGTCCCAGCTACTTGGGAAGCTGAGGTGGGAGGATTGCTTGAGCGAGGGAGGTTGAGGCTACATTGAGCTGTGATCATGCCACTGCACTCCAGTCTGACTGATAGAGAGAGACCCTGTTTCCAAAAAAAACCCAACTAGTCAGTAACTTTGCACCTCAAGGAACTAGAAATATATTAGATAATTTAGCTATTTAATCTAACATAGTGCTTACTGGAACTTGCAACACAGTAGGCACTTACTAAATATTAGTCTCATATATCCAACACAAAGATTCATCATTGACACTACTTTGAAAATAAATGTGGGGTACTATTTATGCCACTATTTCCACTTCGGCAGTTTGTTTTGATGGATTGTTTTTTTAATCCAGGTTTTAAAAATTGAGATATTCATCATATGCTATAAATTTTCCTCACTTAAAAAGTACAATTCAGTGGGATTTAGTATATTCACCAAGTTATGTGACTATTACAACTGTCTAATTCAAGAATTTTTTTCATACCTTCAAAAGAAACCTCATATACGTTAGCAGTCACTTTCCAGCTCTAGGCAACTACTAGTCTTTTTTCTGTCTCCATGGATTTGCCTTTTCTGGACATTTAATGTAAATGGAAACATAAAATATGTACCCTTTTTTGTCTGCTTTCAGTAGCATGTTTTCAAGACTCATTCCTGTTGTAACACATATCATTACTTAATTCCTTTTTATTGCTGACTAGTATTCCATGTTTTGGAATACCACATTTTGTTTATCCCTTCATCAGCTGATAGACATTTTTTAATCGTTTTCACTATTTAGCTATTAAAAATAGTGCTGCTGTGAACATTCATGGACAAGTTTTTGTATGGACATACATTTTCATTTCTCTTTAGTATTGACTTACAAGTGGAGTTGCCGGGTCATATGGTAACTCTTTAACCTTTGAGGAACTGCCAGATTGTTTTCCAAAGTGGCTATACCATTTTACATTCCCACCAGCAGTGTATGAGATTTCCAGTTTCTCCATGTGTTCACCATTACTTATTACTATCTTTTTCATTTTAGCCATCCTATGGGTATGATGTATCTCACTGTGTTTTGACTTACCCTTGACTTACCCTTACGTTGAGCATCTTTTCATGTATGTATTGGCCATTTGCATATCTTCTTTGCAGAAATATCTATTCAAATCTTTTGCCCATTTTAAAATTGGGTTGTCTTTTATTACTGAGTTTCAGAAGTTCTTTATGTAGTTTGCATACAAGTGCCTGGTCAGATCTGTGATTTGCAGATATTTGCTCCAATCTTGTGGGGTTTTTTCCTACACTTTCTTGATGGTGCCTTTTGAAGTACAAAGGTCTGTTGTTTGTTTGTTTGTGTTTCTGAGACAGGGTCTTGCTCTGTCACCCAGGCTAGAGTGCAGTGGCGCGATCTTGGCCCACTGCAGCCTCCGCCTCCCAGGTTCAAGCTATTCTCCCACTTCAGCCTCCTGAGTAACTGGGACTACAGGCACGCGCCACCATGCCCTGCTAATTTTTGTACTTTTAGTAGAGATGGGGTTTCACCATGTTGGCCAGGCTGGTCTCGAACTCCCAACCTCAAGCTATCTGCCTTCCTTGGCCTCCCCAAGTGTTGGGATTACAAGCGTGACCTGCTGCACCCAGCCAGGTCTTTTATTTTGTTGAAGTCCAGTTTATCAATTTTTTTTTGGATGTTTATGCTTTCAGTGTCATGTCTAAGAAACCATTGCATAATCCAAGGCCACCAAGATTTATGCTTATGTTTTCTTCTAAGGGTTATAATTTTAGCTCTTATATTTATTTAAGTCTCTGAGCCATTTTGAATTAATTTTTTTAGATGAAGTGAGATGGGGGTCCAAATTCATTGTTATGCTTGTGTATATCCGGTTGTACTGGTACCATTTCTTGAAAAGACTATTCTTTCTCAATTTAAATCAGTGCTCATAAATTTAAGAGTTTATTTCTTGATTCTCTTTATTTTAGCCAATTTTATAATTTTATTTTAGATTCTCTGTTCTGTTCCATTGATCTGTATGTCTGCCCTTATGCCAGTGAACACATTGTTTTAATTGCTGTAGCTTTGTAGTAAATTTCAAAATCTGGAAGTTTGCATCCTTCAACTTTTGTTTTTCTTTTTCAAGATTATTCTAGTTATTCTGGGTCCCTTGCATTTCATATGAATTTTTTGATCAGCCTTTCAATTTCTGTAAAAAAGTCCGTTGTAATTTTGAGAAAGATTGCATTAAATCTATGGATTAGTTTCAGAAGCATTGCTAAAATAACACTAATAAGTCTTTCAGTTCATGAACATGAATGTCTTTTGATTTAAGCCTTCTTTAATTTTTCTCAACAATGTGTGAGTTTTCAATATGGAAGCCTTATTCTTCGTTTGTTAAGTTTATTCGTAAGTATTTTGTTCATTTTGATGCTGTTGTTTTCTGAAATTTATTTTCAGGATGTTCATTGCTACTATGTGGAAATACAGTTTATATGTATATAACTATATTGTATATATGTTGTATCCTGCAGACTTGCTGAACTCCTTGATTAGTTCTAATTGATTTTTGTGCATTTTTAGAATTTTCTATGTGCAAGATCATGTCATCTGCAAATAGAGGTTGTTTTACTTCTTCCTTTCCAGTCTGGACATCTTTTTTATCTTTTGTCTAATTGCTTTGGCTGGAACCTCCAATACAATGTAGTATCTAATGGCCATGTGTTGCCATTTTTATGAAACAGTGATAGGGCATAAAATGTTTTATATTACTCAATATTAGAATATGGTGGCTGCATGAAATTAGTAACACCCTATTTGTAGGACAACAGTTGGGGCTGTTCTGATCTACTAGTATAAAAACAAATAACTTTTTTCCACATCGATTGAAGAACATTTTCACAATTTCCTTTTTTGTCTTTCCAGGTTTTCTCAAACAATGATGAAGGCCTTATTAACAAAAAGTTACCCAAAGAACTTCTGTTAAGGTAAGTGGAGATAAATTCTGGATGAAGAGTTTAGATCTGATTTAGTCATCAAGTTCCAAGCCTATCTTCTTTCTCACTGTGAGTCCATAGCATAGAAAAACAGACAGAATTAGCCTAACTGACTTTTTGTTTTTGTTTTATAGAATGCTGTTCAGCTTGTTGTTAAATTTTACTTGGTCTAATCCAGAATGTACTAAGTATGTACATAGCATTGGTCTGGATTCTTTTTGTAATGTGGTAAGTATTGTAATAATCTTCAGTAGGTGCCATTGTTTTGGTTTCAGTAGATAATCGTGATGAAGTCAGGAATATGAGGAGAGATTATTGCAAGGTTGTGAGCTCCTGAAGTCATAAAGTTTTTGATGTTTTCAGACAAATGAGTTTTAAATACAAAAAATAAGCACAGTTATGATATGTTCTTAGTGATCACTTAAAATACTGTCAACCCCAAGTATTGATATGTTTTTATTCATATGAGAAGTATAAGTGACAGTAGTATAAAATAGGCTTTTTGTCTTTTATTTCTGGCATCACTAAATATACAGTAAATGTTATTTTGGTGGTTGTTTTTACCAAGTAAAGCTATCAACCAACATTTGTTGGCCTGGAGGTACTTCAGTTTTCTTTAGTATTATGCAATCATCAAAAGAAATCTTATTTTAAGGCCAGGAGTGGTAGCTCATGTCTGTAATCCCAGCACTTTAGGAGGCTGAGGTAGGCAGATCACTTGAGGCCAGGAATTCAAGACCAACCTGGCCAATGTGGCGAAACCCTGTCTCTACTAAACATACAAAACAATTAGCCAGGCGTGGTGGTGCATGCCTGTAATCCCAGCTACTGGGGAGGCTGAGGCACAAGAATTGGGAGGCTGAGGCAGGAGAATCATTTGAAGCTAGGAGGTGGATGTTGCAGTGAGCCTAGACTGTGCCACTGCACTCCAGCCTGACTGACAGAGTGAGACTGTGTCTCAAAACAAAAACAAAAACAAAAACAAAAAAACACAACAAAAACAAAAAAACTCATTTTCGTTTTAGATGTTGTTATATTTTAATTCTTTACAAGGAATTAATAGGTGTATACACAGTAATCCTTGAGAGTCATTTCCCTAACTCTGTTTCTCTTATCACTGATACTCCACAAAACAACAGCATCAGAAACCAGGTTTTGTGATCAAATAACTGTAGGAAACAAACTGTAGTCCTATAGGGTTAACAAAACCTATAGGACTTCACAGGGCCTTAATAGGCTAATGTGCATGGCGATGATACAAGTTGGGTAATTGTGCCATTTCAAACTTACTG